TCACCCCCCCAACCATAAAATTATTTTCATTGCTACATCATCACTATAATTTTGCTACTGTTATGAATCGGGCGACCCACATCAGTTGAGAACCACTGATCTAAAACATCTACACATGACTCCTCAAAGTGTAGATTCTAAAGCCTAGGGTACATATTCTCTATATTCTGATTCCAAAGAGGACACCATAAAGACAGTCGGTTTTCCACTGCGATGGTCTCCTGGCTGGCATCCTTCCTAATAAGCTTTTCTTCTTCTGAGATTAAAAAAGAAAATCCCCTCTGAGGCCATCAAGAGGAATAACATAGTTCACAAAGATGAGGTTCTACCTCCTAACTGGGGAGTGGTGACTGGGCTCTTCAAAGGTCTGCGCAGCCATCACAGTTGCAACAATTGTTCTATACGCATCCATGGGAAAGAGTGACGATTGTTCTATACCCATCCATGAGAAAGTGATGACTGTTCTATACGCATCCATGGGAAAGAGTGACGATTGTTCTATACCCATCCATGAGAAAGTGATGACTGTTCTATACGCATCCATGGGAAAGAGTGACGATTGTTCTATACCCATCCATGAGAAAGTGATGACTGTTCTAATATCCATCCATGAGAGTGACGATTGTACTATACCCATCCATGAGTGACAATTGTTCTATACCCAACCACAAGAAAGAGTGACGATTGTTCTATACACATCCATGGGAAAGAGTGACGATTGTTCTATACCCATCCATGAGAAAGTGACTATTCTATACCCATCCACGAGAGTGATGATTGTACTATACCCATCCATGAGAGTGACAATTTTTCTATACCCATCCACGAGAAAGAGTGACGATTGTTCTATACCCATCCATGAGAGTGACAATTCTACTATACCCATCCATGAGAAAGAGTTGACAAAAGCCAAAAGGCTTAAGGAAACACTGATGGATCATACAAACATCCCTTTCTGCATCCCGTAGATCAGAACTAGATGGTGGTGGTGCCACCAGCAACGGCTCTGCAAAGGAGATCAGAGATTCCTAGAGACAGTGGGGGGAAAAAATGTGGAGCCGATTTCAAGATAACAAGCTCAATGGCTGGATAGACCAGTGTGATGCCCAAGCCTATGGATCTTGGCCTTCTGGTCTGGGAGCGCTTTCACCGTGGCATTCATATAATCAAAGGGCAGCATGTAGCCAAGAACAACGCTCAGAGGGCGACTGGAGGCAGGAAGGACAGTAAGTGGGACACTGAGAATGACAGCGGGTGAGTTAAATCAGAATGTGCATGAATGCTAAACGTAAAACCATGATCCGTTGTGTAAATCTTTCCCCAATTCACAAGTTTAAAAAATCCCTTTAAACATTCTCAATAACAGTAATAATAAACATTCTCATTACTATGTGGCTGCCACCCGCTCCCATGGAAATGCTGAGTTCCCTCCTTTTGAGTGGGAATGGGCAGGGCCAGGAAAGGAAGTGAACAAAGTGTTAGAAGGGGAAGTTGGTGACCTGGACAAGTGCTGTGTCTCATCTCCTCTACTATGAGTGTTAGGTAGCAAGAACAGGGACAGGGGGGTTGTCCCTCCCCATGCCTGCACAAGGCCCCCTACAAGAGGTTGGAAGACAATCAGGCGAGCCTAAGCCAGCCATAAAGACTAACTGGGCACACTCCAATTAACCCCACGCCCCCACACCAGCCAGGTGGGTGGTGCTGTACACCTGGGCGACCCAAAGTAGGCCCACGTGAGCTTAATTCAGCCAATGCGGTCAACCAATACCTTCGACCAAGCCTCCCCAGCCTGAGGTTTAACTACCTTAATGGCGGGACCACCGGCCGGGTTTTTTTCCCATCCTTTGGCTCCTGCTCCTGGGGTGGCTGCGGTGCTGAGGTCTCTCTGGCCTCAGGTCCCTACGCGTGGGTGAGCAGTCCCATGAGGTTGCCGGTGGTCAGTGGTGAAGCCCAGCGTGGCTCATGCGCGGTTTGGCACGCTTCCCCTAAATAGCGTGTACTCCTTTTTTGAGCCTGTAAAACCCGAACCTTCCGTCCTTTATACAAACCCACTTGGATCTCACATCAGGCTTCGGCGTGAATTCTTTCTTGTGCGAAGCTAAGAACCGCTGTATTTCCCACTCGAGAAACCTAACATGACTATCAGCTCCTGGAAGGGCCTCTTGTTTTCCTTTGGGTCCCCAGTATGAGATTTCACTGCATATTTTCTTAGCAGTGTCTGGCATGTGGTAGACTCTCAACAAATGTTTACTGATTATGAGCCAATTAAACTATCAATACATAGCTGTCAAAAAAAAGGGGAAACAAATCTAAATCATTTAAAATGAAAGGAAAAGAGCAAACACTCCCTGTATGTTCTTAAATCAAACCATTTAATGAAAATGATATGGAATGTAAAAAGCACTTTCTTGTTATCAGTAATAGATCACACGGCAAAGAGGGACTGGCATTCTGTAATCAAGCAAAACGTTGGCAGAGTTCAAGCTGCTAAGTCAGATGCTTGAAATTAAGGCTTTCTCTGCAGCTCAGGCATGTCCTAGCTGTACTTCAGAAATGGCCAAAGGAAAAATGGACCCTGTCCTTTGGTACTTTATCCTAATCTTTCTCCATCAGCCCTCAAAACAACCCTTTCCACACACATAAACAAAGCTTAAGAAAAAAGCCCCGTCTTCACAGATTTAAATGGATACCCAAAACAAATATAAAAACAAAACAAAGCACCTAAATGGTGTCAGCTTGCTTCACTTTCTGGTCCCATGGCCCCTCCCATTAATTATTTCATTAATTAATAGCTCAGGTGTTGGTATACGGCCAATAGTCAGATATTAAAAAAGGAATTTGTTTATTGTGGGCAGAGGACACAAACAATATAAAAATCAAAAGCTTATGTGGCATTGACTTGATTTTCCTTTATCAGATGGGACTGGGCTTTTATTTGGATGCATTATGCATGAGCCTCTCAGGAAATCGTCATACAGGGGACAAAGAAGCTGTGGAACAGTCCTTTAGCCAGTGGGTCTCACCTTCTTAATGCCACGACCCTTTAATATAGTTCGTGTTGTGGTGACCCCCCAACCATAAAAATATTCTTGTTGCTACTTCCTGTCATTTTGCCACTGTTATGTATCGAGCAACCCCTGTGAAAGGGTCGTTTGACCCCCAAAGGGGTCGTGCCCCACAGGTTGAGAACTGCTGCTTTAAGCGATTCTTTGGGATCCCTCTTGTCGGTGGGCAAGTCTGCCAGCTCCGGCTTCTTTCCCTTCTGCTTCATTGAACTACAAAACAGTCTGTGGGCGATCAGTGAAGACACTCTGGAAGCCCATCGTCTTGGTGCTGGTCCAGTAGCATTTGTCCACAGCACAGCTGTGAAACGTGAGCATCGTTTCCTCCGTGGCACGTTCCATTTGAGGCGGCCTTTGGTGAAGTCTGTGGCAGCCCAGGTGGGGAGGTGCGGGGCGGAAGGTCGGGGAGCCGGGGAGCCGGGGAGCAGGGCCAGGGAAGCCTTAGTTCACTGCAAATTCTTGGCACAATGTTAGGTAGATAGGTACATATTCTGCAGGTAGTCATAAAATATAATAGCTGATATTTTACAAATCAACTAATTCATCCCCTTCCTTGACTTTACAAATGGGAAGTTAAGTGACTTGCCCCTCGTTAGGAAACTATGTACCCAGTGGCAGAACCAGGATTGGAATCCACATCTCTGGACTTCTAGTTCAATGTTTTTCCCCTTCTTACGATACAATGACTCCTCAAAACAAGGCTCACCACAGTCCAAGGACTTTGCTTTTCCCCATAAACCAGGAGCCAAGAATCCAAACTCCTGTTAGTGAGCTTCATGTGACTGGAGCTGCCCGTTCCAAAAGCTTGCTGTTAAAGTCCCTTGCTTTCCTTGCTATAAACTGACCAGCGTTTGGAGGACTTCTCTACATAACAGAACAAGAGTCCGTGTCGCCGGCAGCAGTTGGCATGAGTGCATACCCTCTAGAGTCCAGGCAACTTTCACTAGTGCAGATGGATAGAAAGCATCTCCCGGGGGACAGTCACACAGGTGTTGTCTGCAGTGTTGAGGAAGGAGGCATACGACCTCACCCAGAGAGGTCGTCCCTGACCACTTTTTAAAGCCCATGGAGACTGAGAAGTGACGCAGGGGGCAGTAATACGCTGCTAATAATGATCACTTTGGATGTGGCAGGTCTTCAAATTTCATTTCACCTTTAATTGAGGTCAATCAATCACCCTGTAGATCAACAATAGGGGCAGTGATTACTGGAGTGCACAAGACAACAGACAGGGGAGATGATTAGGGGCTTCACTACATTTTACCAAGTGTCATTTCCCCTAGCAGGCAAGGATAGGGGCTCCTCTTCTTCAGCAGCAGTCCAAGTTACTGCCTGACGAGGGTGGCTTAGTCAAAGACAACTGCCCCGTCACCTTGCAGTCATTCGGGACATGGTAAAGTACTACCACAGGTGGCTGTCCATCTGCTTACTTCAGTTGGGCAGCCAGCCTCTCAGATACTGATTACTCCACTGCAGGGAAGCAGGATTTGGAAGCGCTGTACATGCTTGAGAGAGGAGTTGATTGAAGAAATGCATGCCAATTTAACAAAACCGAAAGTCTCCGGAGCTGGCCACCAGCTGAGAAAGTCCTAAAGCTATATCTAGGGGCGCCGGATTCTAGGAAATTGTATCTGCTCAGAATCCATTTCTCAAATCTATCATCACAGAATTCATGATAAAATGAATAAACCTGATGGGTAATTTATGATCACTACTTGTTACATTTTTTATAATACAAATCATAACGCAAAGTCCTTAAAATTTGCATTTGGAAAACAGTCAAAATAAATAATCAACATGATTCTCATACTGACAGTTAACAATTCACTACTATTGACAAAGCAAAGTAAAAATAAGTTAGAAACTGCCTCTGCAGACCTAGCGATACTATATGCTATAAACGAAGGCCCTTATGTTTGGTAAAATATATACAGAGAACTCACAATTGTTTGTGAAACTCTGAAAAGATAGCACATTACCTATTATGTAGAATGCCACATATTTTGACAATATATTTGATCAATTTAGCTAATAGGAATTTTAGTCAAATAAGTTGACAAATGATGGCCTATCATATGTCAATATTCAGTGAAATGTAAAAAAAAAAGGGGGGGGGGGAGAACTGGCATTCTCTCATTGCACACCACCAGAGGACTGGGTATTCATTGAACTAAAATAAAACACTGATTATCATGAACAATTTACAAATGATATTAAAACTTTCTACTGAGAAAAACTGAAAAGGCCGTAATAACTGTGTTGAAATTTGCTAGAATTAGAATGCAGCTGAAGTGCCTCGTAACAAAAGGGTGGCTTTTCCACTGCCAGACATCATTCAGACGGACCTCCGGGGAAAAAGTAAGCGAGTGTGAAAAGCCATAAGGCTGACTTTTACTTTCGGTACAGACGTTTTCCCCTTTCCTAAAACGTACTACACATTCAAGAAGTGCATGGAAATACTGTTATTAATCACGTGGCTAGGGTCTTTGTTTTTTCTTGGATATTTCCATTTTCAGGTGGTTCTCTTAACAAGTTAATGTCCACATGGCAGTGAACTACAAAACTGCAGACAGCAAAATTCAAACGTAGAGAAGGACACTTTCTAGAACAAGTCTTGTGAAAGCCTCTTATACATTTAGCAGGATCTCACTGCCCCAAATACATTTTACAAAAATATAGACTTGTGGGCTTTGTGAAATGTGAGAAAGATCACTGTTCTCTGGCATTTGGGGTAAAGGACTGAACAGTTCACGTGACGTGGGCCAGCAATAAGCCGGAAGTGAGGGCGTCGGAATTCCTCGTCAAAATAAATTAAACGGCAGGCGAGTAGTACCTCACGGTCTCGGTTGGCCCACCCTACTGTTCGCTCCGTATCTACTTGGCGCGTTTATAAACGCAGTCCTGCCTCCGTGGGTTGCTCCAATCCCCGGAACTCCAAGTCCTTGAGAAAGCGTGCTGCTGTAAGGCGTGTACCCGTGATTCAGCCCCAAGCCATAAGGTCTTGTTTGTGTGTTTAAAAGAATAACCGGGTTCATGTTTTTTCCAGGGGTGTTAAATGAAAATTCTGGCGGGGGACTGCTGGGTTTGGCCGGGGTGGATGTGACAGGATTCGAGTCATCAGCACTCTTCAAAGGCGGCATCGGGATGACGTGATGATCCGGAAAGTGGAGGGCGCTGGCTGTCACGGGCCCTGACAGTAAGGCAGGCCGAGTCCAGTCATCCTTGAAAATCTGAACTGTCAGAGTAGACACCAGAGTATACAGTCTGTTGGTGACGTGAGCAAGAACCATTTGCTCATTCGCATCTCGTCGGATTCTCACATGCACGGATCCAGCCTAAAAGGGACACGAATGTAAGAAGGACTCGATGAGAAAAGAACCCTTTGTTCATGTTACGATTCTATCAGCACGTGGCAATTCCTTTAAACAAAGGGTGAAGTTTAATGTCTTGACAGTTCTTAAAAACTACTTACTAGTGATTATCCTGATCACCAGTTAATAAAATCATCTGTGATTGGGGAAAAAAAGAGGCTCTTTAAGAAAACACATTTTAAGGGAGGTGGGAGGAGGCTAAAAATAACAAACAAACACATTTACTGGTTGTCTACTAGGGGCTAAGCTTTATAAACAAATATAAAAAATGAGTGAAGACCGTTATCATTCACAGAGGAGGAATGAAGTCTATTTAAAACTAGGGAAGGTGTTGGCTGCTAATTGCAAGGTAGCAGCTTGGACCGCCCACTGCTCCGTGGGGGAGGATGAGGCAGTCTCCTCTAGGATGGAGTTAGAGGCCGGGAAACCGCAGGAAGGGGCAGTTCTGTTCTGTCCTATGAATCAGAATTGATTTGATGGCACTCGGTTGGTGGTTTAGATGGTTTATAATTTCAACACGTGGAGGCAGGCATTCCAAGCTGAGGGAACAACAATTAAAATGCATGGCATGTTTGGATAAGAATCAGCAACCATACTAATACATGAGAGTACAATTATTTCAGGAGACAAAAGAAGAAGGACAGGAAAGAGAAGGGCAAAAGGAAGGAAGGACAAGAGGAAGGTTCAGTAGATTAACAGAGGGCTGTAAAAATCACAATAGTTTTTATTAGTATTATTATAACAGCAACAATGTAACAAAAGTACAATAAGCAGAATCCAGAGGGGAAAAAGAGTCAGCTCGGCTGACTGGCTGGGAACCAGCTTGGGCAAGAACAGCAGGTGCTCAGATGAACAGGTGGGTTCCTGATATTCCCTGGACAGAAGCAGGAACACTTGATCGCTAACTGGTTGAAACGCATGAGGGTTTCAGAGTCATCAAGAATGATCTCAAGGTTTCTAGACGGGGTTACTAGAACAGGGAGCCCATTACGATGATCGATGATCGTGAGATGTATGCTTATTGACTTTGAAAGGTATTTGCTACATAGTATGTATTTAAAAGTAAATAAAATAAATATTTGAAATAAAATTTAAATGTACAATAGTAGATAGAGCAATGCTCTGATTTTGGGTAAAATGCAGATATTGCAAAAAAAAGTACCTCTAGAATTATTAAGGAATATCTAATCTCTTATTTTTAACTTAGCCATACATACTAATTTTCTAATCATCAGGTATTATCTGTGTAATAAAGTTTAAATAAAAATATACAGTATGTAAAATTAAGCAAACTATCCAGCAGATATTCCATGCTGATTTCTAGGTAAACTCAGATTTTCAAAGGTAAAAAAAAGTATAACAAAGCATAAACACCAACCTAAATTAATCAAAAAATTAGTTTAGTTATGATGTGCTTGAATCTAGGCTGACACGCTATATATAGAGCAGTAATAAGAGCTTTTATAAATCACGAGAAAGGGAAAATGTGAACTCTTGCTTGTCACTCGTAGGTAAGAGAAGCCACCTCTAGAAATCAAGTCATCTCTGATGTCACCCATTTCTGTCATCCATCTCATAGGTGTCACTATGCAGAACTATGGACTATACGGTGTCCCCTTGCTGTGTAACTTAGAACTCAAAGACATTACACTACATAGAAAACATATCTGCTTTTAATATTTTTCTGTACATGAAATCCAAGATAGGTAAATCTATAGAGGCAGTAACTGGAGTAAGGGTTCCTTGGGGGTATGGCGGGAGCCCTGGTGGTGTAGTGGTTACACATTGGGCTGGGAACCACATGGTCAGCAGTTCAAAGCCACCATCAGCTCCATGAAAGACCAGACTTTCTACTCCCATAAACAGTTCCAGTCTCAGAAACCCACAGGAGGGTGCTATCAGTCAGCACTGACTAAACCGCAGTGAGTTCTGGGGGGATGGCAGGGGAGGTTGGGCGAAATAGGGTGATAATAACGAGTAGAAGACAGAAGAAAGTGTTCTAAAACGGATTTGTAGTGATGATTTCACAACTCTTCTTGGCATGACAGAGCTACTGAATTGTATGATATGTGAATTACATGCTAATAAAACTGTGGGAAATAAATAAATAAAAACAAAAGATCATTTAACTATACAAAAGAACAGGAAAATATACCTGAGCATGGTTTGAACAAAGCCTCCTGTGATTATGGTGCATGCTTTCACCAATGGCTTTTGTGACATCTATTTTTGGCAACTAAAAAGCTTTTATTAATGTCCTGGACCTAACTATTTACATAGGCATGGCTCCTAAATATCCAAGTGCTAATTAAGATAATTACATTCTTTGTGTTTATAAGACACCCAACTGCAACACTTGCCTATAGGTTTTTTAATATCCTCTGCACAATTAGAGGAATGGTTACAAATGAGCGACTCTCCTGGGGGAATGGATATTGGCATGAATAAGCATTCTGGAGGGAAATTTGCATTAAAAGCCATAAAAATATGAATATCTTTTGACTCATAAAAATCACTTCTTCAAAGGTAATTCACCACCAACCTCCCTTCCTTTTTCCCTGTAAATCTACAACTGCTCTAAAAGAGAAAATGTATTAAAGAATTCACCTTAAGGGATAAGGGCAGATATGTGCACAAATTAATCCACAAAAATGTTTATTGCAGTCCTGTTTAGACATGAAAATAGACAACGACCTCAATGTCCAGGAGGGGACCGATTAAATACTAATGTCCAGCTGGGACTCGGAAGATGGACGCAGGGGTGACAGTTTTTGAACCATTCAAGGACAGCCTAACCAAACCTAAGGACAACTACAAAAACAGGGCAAAACAAGAAAAACCCCGTAGGTAACAGGGTACCCCCCAATACAAGCTGTGAGATTGACAAGGTACCAGGACCCGTGCAGGAGGAGGTGGCAACAGGGTGTCTGAGAGACCGAAATGCCCCAGAGCAGCCAACGGGGACACCATCGTGGGCAGACGACTTGAGAGGTGCCACGAGATGCACGCTCAGGACATCTCCAGAGTGAGCGCGTACAACGGGTTTGCAGTGAGGCCTCAAGGGCTGCAGGGACCTGAGTCCCGTGAGCTCCCCGCAGTAACCGGGCAAAGCTCATTTCTACAGAAAGCCTCATGCTAAGGAAAACAAATGGGAACAGAATTCAAATTAAGAAGTCCAGTGCAGACAAAGGAAACAGAGGTTCAGGTAACAACGAGAGAGAAAACATGCCCACTTCACAGAATCAGCAGAAGAGGCAGCGCCAGAGCCAGGCATTCAGACACAACTACACCACTCCTTATTTTCAAGGTGTAGGAAAACTAAACGGGCAACAGAAAAGGGCTGAAGTCAAGCCCCACACAAAGTTAAAATTAAAAGCGAGTATGGAACAGAGAATAAAAGATCACTAGAAGTATCTATGAAAACTGGAGCTCTGACAAAACACGCGAGCCGATGTGAAATAAGAACCACAAAAATCAGAAGTAGAAAACCTCAAATTAGAGAACAGAATGACAAAAAGAGGTGAAAATACAAGAGAAATCGTGCCTTCAGAAACGAAGACCACCAGAAGGAAGACAAAACCAAAGAAAGATACACCCGGAGAGATCAAAGAGGAAAAGAACAACTTTTGACGTCGAAATGAAATGAAGAGATCACAAGAACTGAGAGGAAGTAACAAATATGAGAGAAAGGGAAAGTCCCCACATGCACGCCATTTCCCGAAGAAGAAAAGCCGGGCAAGAGAACGCGACTGTCGACAGCGTTAACATACTGTGTCAGCAGCACGTTGTCAGGGGGAAGGCCACGCTGCTTCCTAAAGTCGAGGGGCAGCCCTAGAGAGGAAGCCCTGACAAGGAGGACTGACACGGTGGCAGGACACTGGGCTTGAACATGAGAACCATTGTGAGGACGGCACAGGTGTGCGCGGGGCTGCTTTCTCTAGTACATGGGGTCACTATGGGGCAGAGCTGACTCCACCCCCCCACCCCCCACCAACAACAACAGAGTTTGAAGGAAAAACCATCTGTTTTGCTTAGGTCACTGAATGCATGTATATTTCAAAATCCATAAAATAAAAATGAAAATCAAAGGCTCTATGACTATATCTATATTTTTAAAAATCATTTTATTGGGAGCTCGTACAACTCATCACAATCCATACATCCATCCATTGTGTCAAGCACATGTGTACATTTGTTGCCATCATCATTCTCAAAACATTTACTTTCTACTTGAGCCCTTGGTATCAGCTCATTTTTCCCTTCCCTCCCCGCCCCCCTCCCTCATGAACCCTTGATAGTTTATAAATTATTATTTTGTCATGTCTTACACTGTCCGACGTCTCCCTTCACCCACTCTTCTGTTGTCCATCCCCCAGGGAGGGGGTTATATGTAGATCCTTGTGATCGGTTCCCGGTTTCTACCCCACCTTCCCCCTACCCCTCTGGTATCGCTACTCTCATTATTGGCCCTGAGGGGTTTATCTGTCCCTGTGTTTCCAGTTCTTATCTGTACCAGTATACATCCTCTGGTGTAGCCAGATTTATAAGGTAGAATTTGAATCATGATAGTGAGGGAGAGGAAGCATTAAAGAACTAGAGGAAAGTTGTATGTTTCATCGCTGCTACACTGCACCCTGACTGGCTTTTCTCCTCCCCACGACCCTTCTGTAAGAGGATGTCCAGTTGCCTACAGATGGGCTTTGTGTGTCCACTCCACACGCCCCCTCATTCACAGTGATATGCTTTTTTTTGATGCCTGATACCTGATCCCATCGACACCTGCTGGATCAGGCTGGATCGCTTCTTCCATGTGGGCTTTGTTGCTTCTCAGCTAGATGGCCGCTTGTTTACATGCAAGCCTTTAAGACTCCAGATGCTATATCTTTTGATAGCTGGGCACCATCAGATTTCTTCACCACATTTGCTTATGCACCCGCTTTGTCTTCAACAGTTGTGTCGGGAAGGTGAGCATCATGGAATGCCAGTTTAATAGAACAAAGTGTTCTTGCATTGATGGAGTACTTGAGTGGCTCTATGAATATTTAAAATACGTTTTCAGCTTTAAAAACTCAAAAGTATAAGGGAGGGAGGGTGGGGGAGGGAGGGAAAAAATGAAGAGCTGGTACCAAGGGCTCAAGTAGAAGGAAAATGTTTTGAAAAGGATGATGGCAACATAAAATGGGCTTGACACAATGGATGTATGGATTGTTATAAGAGCTGAAAGAGCCCCAAGTAAAACGATTTATAAAAAAAACCCCAAACCTAAAAAGTATATTGTAAGTTATAATTAAAGTAATAAAAAGAAAACATACCAATGAGCCAAAACCTAGGGTCCAAAAATGCTCATTTCGGACTTCCAAAACTCCATCCAAGGTAGATACCTAAAAACAAAACAACACCACAGAAATTGCTGATCACAGCTAACACAACCCAGTTTACCATCAAGACAGCTCAGCCTTAGGCTTGCTCTAAACGTACAAATGCATCAATGGCCCAAAACTCTTTGGGGTTCTTGGGTGCCATCAAGTTGGTTCCAACTCACAGCTAACAGGAATCTGAGGCCGCTCCAGATACCATTCCTGTTTGATCAGTGCTGACTAAAGTCTTGTTTCCCCATTTCCTTCTAGAATCAGGTCCTGGCTGCTCAGTCTTAACCCCAGCCCCCATCACCACACCTTGCTCACTATCTATACTTCTTTATTAATATGACATTTACTGAATTACACTCTGTACTTACAATATCAGATTTCTTTCTTTTGAATCTTAATCATTTCTCTGGATTCCCTTATAACAAGCCTCTGCACAAGATGTTATTTGGATGTGGACCAATAAGACATTCCAAGACAGGCACATAGACAGTGTAGCTCACTGGTTCAGTGGCACTGGTCACATACCCAGACTTCTCTTGCTGAGATAAGCAGGCGGCGATATTGTAAAAGTGGTTCTTTTACCAATAACAAATAGTTTAAAAGTGTCAACATCCAAATAATTAAATTATTTTATGCCCTCCTTCAGTAGCAAGTGGAAATTTATAACAATAGAAAGTCTACCATAACCAAATACTTCAAATGAATGAGCCAAAGAGGTTTGGGCCTCAGGATTATCATCTCAGGGGATATCAGTGGCAACTGACATAACATAGCCCACAAAGACATCCTACTTTAGTGAACAGAAGGCTGGGTCTTCAAACCTTGCAGGTGGCCACCAAAGGTATAACTATAAGTCTCCTCCCATTCAGGGCAAAGGAGAGTGGGAAAAAAAAATCACACACAAGGAAACAATTAATTCAAAGGATTAATGGACATGTGAACCTCAGCTACCAACAGCCAGAGACCAGGAGAACTCAATGGTGCTCAGGTACCTCTGCTGACCACTCTGAGAGGGATTACAACAGGAGGTCCTGGACAGGGTGAGAGGAAAATGTGAACCAAAACTCAAAAATCATAAAAAAGATTAGGCTCACTGGTTTGATAGAGACCGGTAGAATCCCTGAGCCGAAACCCGTAAGTATCCTTTAGGACTAAAAGTTAACTAACTCCATGGCCCAGCTTTCAGGCAAATGACCGCCAGGCCTGTGTGGTGAACAGTAACACCAGAGACACACACTCCTTAGAACAATCAGCAGTGTTGTTGTTAGGGGCCTTCGAGTCAGTTCCAACGTACAGCAGCTCCACGCACAGCAGAGCTAACACTCAGTCCTGTGCCATCTTCACAAGCCATGCCTCCGCTAGAGGCCACTGGGGCAGCCACTGTCATCCATTTGGTTGAGGGTTGTCTCTCTTCTGCACTGACCTTCAACTTTATCAAGTATGATGCTGTTTTCCAGGGATCGGTCCCTCCTGATGTGTTCAAAATACACGAGACAAAGTCTAGTCATTCTTGCATCTAAACAGCACCCTGCGGTAAATCTGCCAAGACAGATTTGGTCAATCTTCTGACAGTCACGCGTGTATTTATTTTTTTTACTAATGCAAAGACAACATTCTTCTTCAGTCGTCCTTATTCAGGGTCCAGCTTTCACCTGCATACGAGGCCAGTGAAAAGACCGTGGCTTGGGCCAGGCGCACCTTAGTCCTCAAAATGGTAACTACTTTTTGCAGCACATTTGTCCAATACAATACGTCAAATATTTCCTGACTGCTGTTTCCATGAGCGTTGATCGTGGATCCAGGTAAAATGAAATGCTTTTTTTTTTTTCTTACTTTTACTGGGGCTGTTACATAAAATGAAATTCTTGAGCAGTTCGCTTCTCCAATCATCATGATGTCATTTACTGGTCCAGTTGTGAGGATTTTTGGTTTCTGCATGTTGGATGTGTAATGCATACTGAAAACTGTTGTCGTCAATCATCATCAAGTGTTTTAAGTCCTTTGGCTTTCAGCAAGTAAGGTTGGGTCACCTGCATATCTACAGGTTGTTACTGAGCCTTCCTCCAATCCTGATGCCACATTTTTCTTCACATAATCCAGCTTCTCGGATTATGTGCTCAGCCTACAGACTGAATAAGTATGGCTATTACTTACAGAATACAAACCTGATGTGTATTTTTATTGATTAAAACTATGCTGGAGTACAATGAAAGGCTCTAGAATTCCCAGTCTTCCCAAAGGTATTCAGTTTATTATAATCCACAGAGCTAAATGCCTTTCCAGTCAGTAAAACACAAGTAAACATTTTGTTGGTATTCTCTGCGTTAGCCAAGATTCATCTGATGGCAGCAGTGATATCCTTTGATCTACGTCTTCTTAATCTGGCTTGGATTTCTGGCAGCTCCTTTTTTGGTGTACTGCTGTAATTGTTGTTTTTAAATTATCTGGAACATTTTTATTTGTATGTAATATGATTGATATTGTTTCATAATTTACACCTTTTGTTGAGTCACCTTTCTTGGGAATGGGCATAAGTATGAATATTTTTCAGTCACTTGGCTAAGGCAATTGTATTCCAATTTTTGGGGGGATAGACAAGTGAGCACCTCTAGTGCTTCATCCATTTGTTGAAACATTTCTATTCCTTGAAACCATGTTTTCGCAAATGACTTCAATGTAGCTTGAATTTCTTCCTGTTGTTTTAAAAAAAAAAAAAGGGTTTCTTGATTCTGTTACTCCCTAAAATGGTTAAATGTTTCCAATTCTTTTTGGTATAGTGATTTTGTAATATTCCTTGAATCTTCTTTTGATGCTCCCTGCTGGTGGTGTGGTTACGCACCACTACACTGCAATCTGCAAGGTTGAAAGTTTGAAACCAGAGCTGCTCCACAGAAAGACTGGGTTTCTACTTGTGTAAAGTGTTAGTCTCAGAAACTCACAAGAGTAGTTCTACCCTATCCTATAGGGTTGCTATGAGTTGGCATCCACTTGATGGTAGTGAGCTTAGTTTTTGGTTTGGGTAAGTCATTCAAGAATCAAAAGAAGATTCAGGAATATATAGTCATTATACCAAAAAGAATTGGTAACATTCAACCATTTCATGGAGTAACATAAAATTCAAGAACCTTTTTTTTTTTTTTTTAACAGGAAGAAATTCACACTGCATTGAAGTCATGGGCAAACACAGCTTCAGGAACTAATGGACTACCAATTAAAATGTTTCGAAAGAAACATCCCATATTTTCACCATATTCAATATTATAACTCAAGGCTTGAACTTTTTCTTTAGTTCTTTCAGCTAGAAAATGCTGAGCATGCTTTTCCCTTTTGGTTTTCTAATTGTAGATTTTTCACATTTCATTATAATACTTTGTCTCTTTGAGCTGCCCTTCGAAGTTTTCTGTTCAGCTCCTTGCCACCATCATTTCTTTTTTATTATTATTTTTTTCCCCCACCATCATTTCTTCTGTGCCTTAAAGGGCATGTTTCCACATCCCTTTTGACACGCGCGCTTTGGCCTGTCCTTTCTTTCCTGTCTTCTTAATGACCTTTTATCTTCTTCTTCTTTTTTTTTTTTTTATAACATGCATGGTGTTTTATTTTTGGAAGAATAGTTCTAAAACATCACACTAAATCAGGTTGAAAGGTAAAGTTTAAAATAGACTGTTTTATAAGAATGTTATAACATATGTAATGATGGTTCACTCTACAAAATCTTCATCTCAGCGCATGTGATACACCTCGTTGGCAGGAGCACTCAGGTATTCCAAACTAGCCAGTCATCATTTTTCTCTTGTCTGCATAGACTTCTTCTCGTTAGCTGCCTTCTGCTTTTGTTGCATGATCTCAGAATCCCTCTGCTTCCTCTGAGAGGTAGTCAAGTGATCTTCTTTTCTTTCTCCCCTGCTAATCTCCTGGGGTTTCTTCGTGTTTTTCTGGCGGGCAAGTTCCCTTTGATTTCCACGGGCCATGCCGACCACAGGGACAGAGCCTGGGAGAGAGCGACTCGGAGAAGCAACAGTTCTCTCGCACGCACGGCTGGCGTCCCTTTTAGCTTCTTCATGCATGATGGCCTTCACTTCATGTCCTCCCACCACTTATCTGCGTCTTTCATCATTAATGTTAAATGTATCAAATTTACTCTTGAGATGGTCCCTAAATTTAGGTGGGATATACTCAAAGTCATATCTTGGTTCTCTTGGACTTGTTTTAATTTTCTTCTGCTTGAACTTGAACCTGGATATGAATAATCAACCCTACAAGATCAAAATGGCAGCATTTGTCCAGAGAGAAAGCTCAGAAGGCTTGGAGGGATAGGAAACAGATGAACAGAAATGTCAACACAGGGAGGAAGTGGAATGAGGGCTGTAACATTGAAATCAATGTCACAAAGCAAAATGTGTATGAATTGGTGAATGGAAAATCAATTTGCTCTGTACACTTTCACTTGTATAGCTGACAGAGCAATCTCTAGGTCACTACTTTCCACATTTATTTCAAGTGAACGTGGTTTCTAAACTGAGCAGTTTCTCACAGCTTTTTATTTTTTGTCATTACATAAGGGGACTTCAAAAGGTTCATGAAATAATGTAATTTACAATTCCCTAACACACAGCATTATTGTCAATTCCTTAATTACAAATTAAAATGTTTTCATTTACTACTCCATCTTACCTCTCTGATAAGTTTATCCAATTGGCCAATAACATGAGGTGGGGTTGTCTAGGGAGAAAAAAAATAAAATATAAATAACCTAGGGAGCCAACATTTTTACTCAAGAGGTCCTGAACCCAAAATAATTAGGTTTTATCTGACACTAAACTGTACATGTATAAACTGTTGTTCAATTGGTATATGTTTTGCTACATATATTGCCAACAAGAGAGATAAAAAAATTTTTTGATAAAAATTTTTAAACAGTAATCAGGTTATTATCACAGTCTCTGCTTTGACATCTGTCCTAACATGCTTAAGGGAACAGGGGTTTCAATTGGTTCCACTGGCGGCACTAGCAGCAAGAATCAGCTCATGTTCATTTCTTAACCAGCTGCTCCCAAACTATAGAGGTCTTAAAGAACCAACCCACCAACCAAAAATCGGAACGAAATGGTTAGACCAGTAGTACTTTGTATATAGGACACTGATCCAGAGCCCTCAGGAATGAAGGTCTGGGTCATAAAGCACTCTCTGACTATTATTGCTATTGCTGCTGGGGATGGTGCTTAAGTCCCTATATTTCAGAAAGACCAGAGACAGAAGGAAAACACATGATTATACACTGAACTCTGGGAAACCAGCTCTCTACACAGGTGTTTCCACTGTTTTAATGAGTCATTTCTCATTTTAATTTAACTTAATCTTACTTTGTCATTTTTCATTTTAAGCCTGAAATTTAACAATCTCATTGATCCGATGACAGAATATAACAATCACAATCAGATTACACAACAGTGAAAATATATTTATTGGGGGGTAAATAAGTAACATTACATAAGTACATTTTAAAGTACGATTGCTATCACTTTAAACAGGATTAGAGGCAAGCAATCTTAAGTTCATGGGTCTGTCTTTTTTTTTTGGGGGGGGTCTGTCTTAAAGTACAAATACAGAAGGATTTGTGATCCCTTTATAAGCCAGATAAATTTCATCTGGTTCTTACTCTATAACTTTCAGCGATTATTTTCTACGTCATTTCTAACAATGTCCGCCAGCAGCTAGATGTTTCACTAACTAAGAGAAGAAGAACGAGAACAATTTTGGAATTGGAAGGAGAACACAGCAATAATAAACATGCACATCTGAAGAAGAACTGTACCTGGAGTAGCACTTTCCCACTGTACACACTCATGGGATACATGGTGCCAAACGTCATCAGAGCAATGGCTATGGCGGAAGCAGTGTCTACAGCAAAGTAGTTGCTAAAAGGAAAAACAATTCTAAATTTTAAATGTGTGCCTCTCTGGGCCCTCACAATGCAAACTCAAAACAAAGCCATCAAATCAATGCCGACTCATAGCGACCACACAGAACAGGGGAGAATTGCCCCTCTGAGTTTCTGACTGGTAACTCTCTGTAGGGGCAGAAACTGCTGACCAATATGCCATCAGGGGTCCTTACAAAGCTACTGAACATTAATGATAGAAAGCATAGGTCTGCTTTTCCACAATTGGCTACTATTGGTAAAGCGAGTGTCTTAAAAACATTTTTCCCACCAAAGTTTACCCGCAGAACAACAATTATGACAATTAGTATAAAGAGGGTCAGTGGAGGGTAAAATACTGATATCATTTTCCATACATGCATTTTTAAGTCAATCCCTTATAAACTAGAAGATTCCAAATGTATGTTTGTTTCATTCAGGAAGACATGTTAAAAACGTAAGCAACTCCTAACGGAGAGACTAATGAACTTCATCAATGATTCTTTCCATTTTCTGTAAACAATTACTGTCAAGTACCCTGGGAATTTTCAACATAAAGAGTCTCCAGGATAAGTCATAGGAACACTGTGGACAAAGTGCAGTATCGCAACATGAGTTCAGATGGTGCTAAAGTTCCCATGAGTTTTACAACATAGAGTCTCCAGAATCTTTCAAAATTCCCTGTGAATTTTACACTGTGAAGAGTCTCCAGGATTTGTCATAGAAACACTGTGGCCCATGTACAGCATCTCATCAGGAGTTCAGATGGAGCTGAAGTTGACAAGACAGAACAAAATGTATTAAAAGCTGATTGTGTATTCTTTCATCTTATCCCGCGTGTTGGGACTTGAACATGGGTAAGACATAGGCCTTAGCCTTGAAAAGGTGTGGAAAAAAAAAAAGAAAAGGTGTGGGGGTGGGGGTGGGAGGGAGGAGTAATGAGAAGCTGATACCAAGGGCTCAAGTAGAGAGAAAATGTTTTGAAAATTGGCAACAAATGTAAAAATGTGCTTGACACAATGGATGGATGGATGAATTGTGATAAGAGTTGTACAAGCCCCCAATAAAATGATTTAAAAAAGAAAAGGCAGGAGATACCCATGTAAAATCATTATGAATGAACTGGTATATGTTTTGCTATTATGGTTTCAATAATAACAAATAAAATTATATATAATTTTATTATGCACATTTCTTTACTTAATTCAAAAATAATTTACATGTGCATATATTTATTTACATAATTTAATAATTTAAATAATTTTATCATGTATATATACACACATACATTATATATGTGTGTATGTATATATGAACATATACACAATTTTATTTACTTTGTTGTTGAATCTCTCAAATTGAATACTCTTACTTCCTGCACTGTGATTCCAATAAACCATTCAACTGTGAAGGGAAAAAAAAGTGAGTGGAGACGAACCTACTACATAGAAAACCATAATGAAACACTTGGAGACTAACAGAAGTCTCTTCGTTACCTCTGATGTACAACAGAAGTGAAGGGAAACATCATACGCAGATTTCAAGGACTGATCAGTTTATAACCCCCCTAAAGGACAGGCTGGAGTCCCCATCCTGATAGGAACTTTTACTGGGAGTGTGGGGTCTCGTCCATTATGACTTTTACTCAGATTAGCTGGGACCCAACCCTTGTAGCTGAACTTCACCCACATTAATTAGGGAGCCCACTTTGAATTGGTAGGGAGTGTATGAGTGGCTCCTAAAACTGCAACACCTAAAACTAGAATTTTCCTCATCGAGATGAGCAACTTGAGATTTGCCCTGAAAAAGACCTGCTCAAGTAAAGAATGAATCTGATGATGCCCTGATTGAGGAATGGAGAGACGTGTTTGATCTTTTTGTCAGGAATCTTCCCAGAACTCACCTACATACCTTTTCTTGAGTTTCATGATATTTCTTTTACCCTGAGTCAAATCTCAAATTGTATACTCTTACTTCCTGCATTATGACTCTAATAAGCCACACAATGGTGAGTGGAAACAAATCTAGTGAGGTAGGGATATTCTAAAAATCTACCATGTATACTCATGGATAAGCCGAGTTTTTCAGCACATTAAAAAAAAATCATTTTTATTGGGGGCTCATACAACTCTTACCAAAATCTATACATCCATCCATTGTGTAAAGCACATTTGTACATTTGTCAGCAGGAGGAAATGCAGGGTTTCCAGTGTGCATTACAGATTGTGGCGATAAATACTTACCAGATTTAATGCTCTAACTTTCTTGATGAAGAGACTTGAGGAAAAGATTTGACCAACGTTACATACACCATCAGCAAAAACATTAGGTTGAACCACCAATGCCTTTAAAAGACAGGCCTAGAAGGTGAAATGACACTTAACAGCAATAAGAAGTACTTACTTAATCTCAATTAGCATATATGTAATACATAAAGCAAATGCTCCAGCAAGATCGATCAAAACAAATGGGTTCATTCGGGGAAGAAAGATACTGCTGAGTCCTGGAATAATTCCACACAAGCTATGAAAACAATGAATACAAAAATTATTCATTAGGAAAAAAAATTATTCATTAGGACTCATGTAATACTACTGAAAACCTTATATAAGATGACTTCAATTTTAGAATTATGGTATATGTTTTTTTATAAAGCAAAGAGGACTTGGAAATTGTTTTTTACACAGAAATGTCTTATATCATCAATTAAAAAGAGAGTGTAAGATCAAAAATCTAACCTTAGAAAAATTTTATCCTCTGAAATGAGTAATTGCTAAATAAATCTATTTCTTCTGCACCACCCCCTCCTACACGCCCCCCACCCAAAGGATGAATTTTATTGCATCTTAAAAAGTAGGAATCATCTGGTTTCTTATTTCTGTGGGTGGACAACTCTTAGCTCTCATCAGTCTGTTAAATTATAGGCATACTTTGTTTTATGGTGCTTTGCTTGATTGCATTTTGCAGACAATGCATTTTTAACAAATTGAAGGCTGTGTCAATCTTGCCTCAAGCAATTCAATTGGCACTGCTTCTCCAAAAGCATGTGCTCACTCTATGGCTCTGTGTCACGTATTGAAATCCTCACTACTTCAAACTTTTCATGCTATTAAACACTTAACTGATAGTATAAACCTAACTATTGACTGCACTGGGAAACCAGAAAACTCATATGGTTTGTTTTAATGTGACATCCACTTTATTGCAATGGTGTGAAACCGAACCCACACAATCTCCTTGGTGTGCCTGTATGGCTTTGGCAGAGACATAGATTTTATCCACGTTTTCTGGTATCCTTGCTTTTAACCACCATGCCTGCTGAATTCAAGCAGAGCAATCTGACTCAAACCCAGTGTCCTTTAAGGGTCCGTTCATCTTCCTTGGCTTGATATTCTGAATGAGCCACACCTGCCTCATCTGAAGCCTGTGAATGTATTTTTCATCTGAGAAATTTTGGAGATACCAATTAAACAGGATTGACAGTTCAGAAATAAACCCCTACACCTATAGTCAGTTGATTTTTTTACAAGGATATACACTAGAGAGAGTCTCTTTAACAAATAGTACTAGGACAAATGGATCACTATAAATGAATGAAGCCAGGCTCACTCCATACACAAACATTAACTCAAAATGGACCAAAGACCATAATCTTATTAGAATAAAACAGAGGTTCAGCTTTGGAAAATAATATTTACAATGTTTTCTTATACATTTTTAAATTATTGTATATGACACCAAAAGCACAAGAAAAGGCAAAAGATAAACTTTCCTTCAACAAAGGATTTTCCCAAAAAACTGAAAAGACAGCGTGTGTGCGTGTGTGCGCTTAATATCCAAAAAATACAAAGAATTCTTACAAGTTAACAAAAAAGGGAAAGAAATCAGTCAAAAACGACAGCACTGGAGACACAGTGTAGGAATTGCGCCCGATCTGATCCTGCCACACTGAGGCAAAACACTGGGGGAGTGCAGCGGAACAGCAAGGGAATGGAACGGAAAGGTCCCCAGGGAATGCTAAAGGTGGACTTTGGGGCCAGGG